AACGATTGGCCATCGGTGATCGGTCCTGTGGGAACAATGCTCCGTCCTCTCGAGGACGCGTGGTCAATGGTCTAACCGCTAAGACATGCAAAACATAAGAGTACGCCCCCCCCCCCCTTCCGTATGCGAGGTCAATGGTCTAATGACTACGGCATGCACGACTATGAGGACACCCCCCCATCCGTTTGCATCGTGTGTTTCCATGCCAGAAGGCAACCACTTCGCAACGTGTACACCCCTCCCTCCCCCGGCAGGAACAGAACGTCTCGAGACCTTCTCTGCTTCCTATCGCCACCCGTCCTTTTCTCAAAAGTGTGTCCCTTGGTTGCCTCTGTAAACATGGTCGCAATCCCGAACTCAAGCTGTGCCTTGGAGTGTGCGCCTGCGCCGTGAGGCACTCCGGCTGGGATTCGTCGAAGGTGGTTCCGGACATGGTGATGTACTGCCAAAAGGCGTCCGAGGATACGGGCCACGGCGACCCCGGTCCCCGCGTTCTCATGCTGGAACTCCTAACGGTGGGTTGTACGGAGGGAGTCGCCTTTGGTTGTCGTGCTCGAGCTTGCACCGCTGCTTGTGTGCGATGGTTGGCCACAGAACACAAGCACAGATAGAGCTGGGACGATGGACAACTAAAAATAGAAAGTAGAAGTTTAGCGAACCCGCAACGGCTCTCTGGTCGTGATCGGTGGACGAAAGTATCTAGTCCTCCCTTTGCGCGCACGACCATAACTCTCTCTATCTCTCTCTTGCCCTGTAGCCTTGTCTATTGTACACATTGCGGTGGTGACGGCGAATGTATGTGCTCCGTCCTTTTGCCTCTTTCCTTTGTGTTATCACGCGCGTGCGCGATCTCAGCCCTGTTTAGTTTGTTTTACACATGTAATGAATGCAATGATGTATATGTGCTCCTGCTTCTGTTCGGTTGTCTTCTTTTTTTTACTTTCTCCTTCTTTTCCCCTCTTTTTTTTTTTGCATGTTCTCTCCGACGACGCATCAGAGCGCGGCGACTGATCCTATCCTTATCTTTTGTTTATCTTTTCTTTTCTCATTTTTCTTGTTTTTTCGTCTGGACAGGTCCTCCCCGATGAAGCCACAGCCCGTGCCGGCATCAGCGCGCCCCCCGAGAGGCGCAAGGAGTTCCTGTGGACGCTCCGCCAGGGGGGAGAGGCGGGACGCTTGGCGCTAGGGGTGCTTTCTCAGCTCATGGAGCCAGGGGGACTGCCCGCCGAGGGGGCCGTGGGGGCCACCTTGAGGTATGTGAAGGGCATTTCCTGCAGAAGCGGGGCTAAGGGGGGGGGCAGCTTGAGGTACTTGAGGTTCAGCATGCATTTTTAGCTCGAGAGCGAAGGGCAAGTGTAACGCTAAGCTGCGTCTGTGGGGGGCACCAGGTATGTGTAATATCTAGCTCGAGACATTAGCTTTTGCGGGTGGTTGAAAATCTTAGCTCTTGGTCTTTCTTGTTTGTTTGTTTTGGGTTGGACTACTGTATTGCTGTCGGCTGTCGCGTTGGTATCGTTTTGGGTGATGGACAGGCTACCATCGCCAAGGGGACGGGCACGCAGCTTGCCCTGGGGCGGGCTGTGCATATACCGAAACAATTGTGAGACAGAACGTGGTCCTGACAACGTTTTGAGAAACGGAGGCACAACATTGACGTTATTACCGACGAGGTAAAAACAAATACTTGGTATATCACACGAAGCAAAGCGAAACGTTCAACGATGAATGTCCACAAAGACACGTGACAAGGGCACAACTTTTATCGGCGAGTATAAACACAACACGAAAGAAGGCACAACATTTAACGAGGAATACCCACCAAGACACGTAGTAAGCGGCAAAACATTCGACGACCAATACCCGTAAAGGCACATAACAACGCAAAAACATTCAACTACGCAAAATAAGGGCAAGAAGGTACCATCGAACACAACAAAAACACGAAACGAAACAACGAAAAAAAGGTGCGCCCTGGCGTGGATGCAACTGGAGGCGGTGGAGAGGGCGGACATGTTGGCCTCCCCTGTCATGGCCCTGGCGCTGGAGGCCCTGGAGAGCCCGGAGGCGTGCGATGACGCCTGCGAGCTCGTGACGATTTCACTGGAGGCTTTTACGGAACCAGAGGCTTCTGAGGTGTGTGTTTTGGGCCCCGGGCTGTCTGCTTGTTTGGGGCCTCCCCCCCCCCGCTCTCTGCTTGGTTCGAAAGCCGTACCAAAAATTAACATACGCACGATGGGATTCGACGGATGGGCAGGCTTGCTTGCTTGCTTGCTTGTTTGCACCTACCCTTACAGCACTCATGAACCCCGTATTGGAGAAAGACAACGTACGCCTGCAGCACCCATGAACCCCGTATTAGAATAAGACAGCTTACGCCTACAGCAGTCATGAACCCCGTATCGGAAAACGACAGCTTACGCCTACAGCAGTCATGAACCCCGTATCGGAAAACGACAGCTTACGCCTACAGCAGTCATGAACCCCGTATTGAAAAAAGACAGCTTTCGCCTACAGCAGGCATGACGCCACTCCCGTCTCCCTCTTTTCGCTCGCCCCTTGCGGGTTGCCGTACGCAACAACAACGATGATCATGATCATGGCCGCTCGAGTTCTTCATGCATATATTTTGTGATGTAAAGAATGTTTCTTCTCCTGGCAGGAAATGTTGCCGAGGGTCTTAACCAGGGCGCAGGCTCTGGCCAACGCTCCGTCGGAGGAAGTATGCCGCTGCCTAGCAATGGTCTTTGCCTCGGCGGCCTGCGCGTACCTACCGGGCATCCTTAAGCCTGAGCTGGGTGGGCACTGGAGCTCCCTTCTGCAGGTACTGCTGTATTTTGAGCCAGCCGTGTACAGTACCTTCTCTCTGCTTAGTGTAGAGATAGCACCATTAAGGTGGGGGGGGAAATAACCATAACGCTGTCTTCGAAAACATGCTGCCGCTTCAGTAAACATTTTGAAGGTCGGATTCACTGCGGTTTCCAGCTGCACTGTGCGTAGATCATGGTTGGCAAGCTGAAGCACCCCTCCCTGGAGACGGCATGACTGCAGTAGGGTGGGGGAAGAGTAACCACAACGCCGTCGTCGACAGCATACTACTTCAGTAAACATGTTGAACGCTGATCAACCGCTGTTCCCCATGCTGCTGTACTGTGCGTAGATCATGGTCGGCATGCTGAACCACCCCTCCCTGGAGATCGCCAGCCTTGCCCTCGAGTTCTGGGGGATGCTGGGGGAGCTGCTGACGGAGACGGCTGCGGGGGGGCGGGGCCCGCGCAGCCCCCCCCTGGAGGAGTCCGTGCGTCGCGCGTGCAAGGTTTCTATGCTCCGCGCCCGCTACCCATCGGACGACTGCGGCGGATTGGGGGGAATGGACGAGGACTCGAGGGATGAGCTGGAAGACTTTAGAGATCAGGTATGTACGGCAGTAGCCGTGGGCCCTGAATTAGGCGGCCTAGTGGTGCCAAGGGGTGACTGGGATATGTAGGAGCGTCATGCATGCATGCCTCCTTTTCTTGTTTTGGTTGTATGCTAGTGCCCTCGGAGGGTATGGACGGAGTAGAGCGGAAATGTTGAAGCCTGCAGGGTGTTGCGAACTCGAGAGCTTTTTCGAGAGCAGGTGCGCTATGTGAAAGGGACGATTGTTCCTTCCACCAAGCCAGGGGAACCGCGCCGGCACCGTGCCCCCGCTGTGTATCCACCCCCACTCGGTCGTTGTGGTGTGCTCGAATCGAAAGCCTTTTGCTGCTTCCTGGAAACGAGCCCGCCTCTTCAGCCACAAGCCGTGCATGCCGGGGGGCGCCGCCAGTCAGCGAAACATCAACCAACGCACATGCACGCGTGTGCAATTCAACGATGGTGCAGCAGTCAGTCAGTCGGCCTGCTGGGCTAACCCGCCGCGGATAACAACTATGCCAACAACAAAGCGGTGGATCAGCATCGCTACAATAACATACAATAGCAACAGTAACAGCAACAGCAACAGCAACAGCAACAGTACCGGTAACGATAACAACAGCAACAACAACAACAACAGCGACGATGTTCCGCCGCCACCAGGTGCAGGAGCTCCTTCAGACCCTCATCATGCCCGCACCCCCGTGGGAGCAGAATCAGCAGCGGTCTTCCTCCAAGGGCGGCGGGGCTGCTGGAACCCCGTCCCCTCCCAGGCCAGGCTTCCATGTTAGAGGAAGCGGGGGCGGCGGCATTTTCAGCGGGCGGGGCTGGGAACGGGCGGGGGGGGTGAACGGTATCGGGGCGGCGATGAGTCCTGACAACGGGCCGGGTATGTACCCAGGGCGGCGTTCTTCTCCTTCTCTGTCTACAGCGGCGGCGACGGCTGCGGTTACCCCTGACGGCAGCAGGAGGAGCAACAGCGACGGCGGTGGGAGTGCAAGCGGTCGTCGCCGCAGCTTGGGGGAGGACGGGGCGGGGATGGACATGGTGCTGTCCCCGGTGCAGAGCGGGCTGCTGGAGTGGCTGGAAGGGCTGGCCGCTTCCAGCACCCGCGAGGCCCTCCAGGAGCAGCAGCAGCAGCAGCGATACAGCGGCACGTCCAGCAACGGCACCATCGGCGGTGGCTTGGATGGCAGCATCAACAGCGGCGGCAGCGGGGGAGCGGACCCTTCCGCTACAGCCCAAACGGGCGGAGGAGAAGCAGGAGGAGCGTTGTTGGACGGCGCGGCAGGTGGAGGGGGGCGGGGAGGGGACTGGTCGGGAGTCGAGGTTGCGCTCCGCATGCTCAGCGCCGTCACCAAGGCGATAAACCTACGCGACTTCTGCTCCCCGTCCCCCTCCTCCGCTGCGCCGGCCCTGTTGGGAGGAGCCGGCACGAGCGGTGATCCCGCAACCACCGCCGCCGCCGCCGCCGCGTTCCGGGGATACGTCCCCGCGGGCAGCGGCGTTGTCGGTGATGGTGGTAGGGGAACGGGAGCCACGGAGGCGCTCGTGGACATGCTGCCGTCGCTACCGCCGGGCCGGAGGGAGTTGCAGAGATCCGCGGCGGTTTTGGTCGGGGGGCTGGCGGCGTGGCTGGCGAGGAGGCCGAGGAGCCTGGAGCCAGCGCTGCAGTCGGTGCTCGGGGTGCTGGGGCTGGAGGAGGAAGGGGGGGGGCAGGCGTTCATGCGGGACAAGGGCGAAGACCACGTGAGTGAGACAGACGCGCACAAGCTTGATTTGCTTGCTGCGTTTGTTTTGTTGCAACTCCTTCGGCACGCGCGTGGCATATGTGTGTGTTATTTTTTTGGAAAGGTGGTAAGTTCTTGGTCATCGTATGGTTGCGACGCGAAGATTCAGATTCCCCATCTTGTCCGTCCGTCTTCTAACCCACCGCCAACTCAGCATTTGCTAATTCCCCGTGTTTTTTCATCCTCTGATCTTCCTTCCAGCCCTCTCAGCCCCGCACTTGCTCCTGGGGGGTTGTTGTTGCGGCAGGGCTGGCTAGCCACTTGAGCTCTCACAACATTATTTTCCTTAATGTTCATAGCATAACAAAATTCATCTTCCACAGATTAAAAGGTCTGGAATAGATTTGTTGCTCGTGCTTTCCCTCTCCACCCAGCCGTCGTATTTCTTGTTATTACGACCACAACTTCCTGCAGGTGGGTGCTCTCTCGCACCAAGCTTTCTTGTGTTCCTCTCCAAACTGCCCCCCCGAGCCATCGTAACACTACCCCTTGGCCACAACTTCCGACAGGTGGGTGCGGTGGCCCTGTCCAAGTTGGTCTCCGCTGCCGGTCCGTCCCTGGCGGCCGTCCGAAGCCTCCCCACGCACCTCCTGCAGCGGTACCACGGCCTCTCTTCACAGCTCCAGAGCCATCGGTTGCTCCGGCCCAGGCCGGTAGCAGAAGGCAGAGGGCCGCCACCGGGGCCCGCGGCACCTGCGGCGCAGCCGTTGCCCTCCGAGCGACTCGCGGCATCTGGCCCCGCTGCTTGCCGCGGCACCGGCAGTGCTTCGTTTCCGTGGCAAGCAGCAGGCGGTGACCGTCCTCTAAGCCTAGAGCAGCAGCGCCGTTCAGCGGAGGCGGGGAGCGGGGGGAAAGCCGCTGACGCGGCGGCGGCAGCGCGGCCCCCCCCTCCGTTGCATGCCGGCAGCCTGAGGCTGTTCTTGGGGAGTATCTGTCGGATGCTGGGGGAGGCCCCGAGGGCGGGGGCGGTACTAGAGCAGCAGCGCGGGGGGGGGTCCGGTACGGGCTCGACGGTAGAGGTGGAGGAGGTGCTTCAGGCGCTGGTGGAGGGAGAGTTGCGGTACCTGGGAAGCGTGCTCGACCGCCGGCGAGAGCTGGGTGAGGAGAGATAGGGGTTGGCGCTAGAGCCGTTCACAAAGGTTGCACAAGATGCGACACAACCCTTCTATCTGGACTGTTTTTTTCAAAGCACGTTTGCTCCGCGACACGAAGAATGTACCCCCGACCAAGTGACACGTTTCTGAAAAGCCCAAAGTAACATAGGTGCAGTAGCAAGATGCCGCACACCCTCTGAACTGATTTTTTTCATAACCCGTTTACTCCACGACGAACAATAGGATGCCAAGCGACACGTTCCTCATTTTTGGCCCCCGATTTCTCCAGGACAAGAAACAGTAAGCCACAATCAAGTGACGCGTTTTCCCGAAAGCCAACCCCTCGACGACACGGTTCCAACGCTGCAATATTTCTGTGCCGTATGCAGAGTGGTCGAACTCCCAAAGTAGTCCAGGAGGCTTGGCATCTAGGGTGGCGTCTTCGATGGGTGTTTGTTTGCGTGTTGTTTCTGTTCGATGGGCGCGTCGCAACCAGCCGTGGCCTCCGTTATGACAGCGAAGAGTTACCGTAAATGGTTGTTGTATAAGGTGGCGTTGTCGCGAGGCATGCCCCCCGAAGAAGTGCATTTTTCTTGTCTTGGGGGGGAAGACGAGCTATGATGTGAAACGGCCGTGGCACACGCCTCCGCGCCTGTGCAAACCCCGGTGAATGTTGCACTCATCAACACCCGGTGTCCTTGTACCCTCAGCACCAACAACACGATTTATTTTCGGTCAACGAGAGCATATCGCAGAAAACGTGAGATGAGGCGATCTGACGCGCGTCAGCGTGTCTGGTACCCCCCCCCCCCCCCCCCCCCACC